ATATATAAAAGGACAGTCTTGGTGGCAATATAAACTACCAAATGACTGTAGTTGGTACTGGAAGAAGATATTCAATATAAGGGATAAATGTCAGGGAGGTTCTATAGGGAATGGCTGGCTTACACAAGCTGGGAAATACTAGCCATTCCCTGTATAACATGCTTGAAATTTATCCCTTATAGTTCATATATTCTTCTAGTACCAACTACAGTCATTTGGTGGTTTATATTGCCACCAACACTGTCCTCTTATGTATATATGATTGACCCACTTTACCCACATATTATCTACTTTCTGGGAAATATGTCATACATACTTGGCCACTGCTGCCTCATTCCATATTATACGCTCCTTGATCCCCAAACCTCCCATTTTTCTTAAGTCTACAAATCAGGTCCCAAGCTACAAGTGGTGCTTTATTAGTATTGTCTTTGCCATCCCATATAAAATTCATACATATGACTGTTATCTTCGTTTATATGACCCTAGGAAGTATGAGAATTGATGCCCAGTAAGTTTAGATGTGCATCAGAACAGAGTTCACCAACTACACCCTTCACGCATATTACAAATTCCTAGATGCCCAACTTCTTATTCTTGCTATCATTTTCTCAACCAGTAGCTCACATTCTGTAGCTGATAATTTCCTAGGGGAAATTGGCACCCCTAATTATCTAAATGGCAGTTTCCCCGTTTGATAACTAGTAAGTTTTTACAGGTCACCTATGCTCTAAGCATCCATGTTAGCAGAGAAGAGGTTAGACTTCCCTGCATTAGTACTTAGCCCATATGTGTTTGCAAACGCCTGTGGTCCTCTTAACATAGCTACCACTGACTGAAGTATTCCTTTACAAAACAGTAGAACATCATTTCCAAAGCAAAGGTGGTTTAGCCTTAGACTTCTGCACTTGGTATGATATTCAAACCCTTGTAACTCTGACAGCCTCCCCATTATTCTTGTAAAATATTTCATGCATATTACAAAGATCAACGGAGATATGGGATCTCCTTTTCTTTGTCCCTTTTATCCTTTAATACACCCATACATTCCCCTATTAAATAGCAATACTGTACTGAGTAGTCGTGATGCAAGACATTATCCACTTGATGAACCTTTGAGGAAAGTTCAGTGCATGAAGCATTTCTTCCACAAATTTCCATTTCACTGAGTAGTATGCCTTCTTAAGATAAATCTTAATTAGGCAACTTTGAGTAGTATTGTTCTTATTATAGAGCCTTATTAAGTCTTGGAAAGTCAAAATGTTTTGAACAATACTTCCTTATGCTACAAACGCACTTTGATTCTATGATATTATTGTAGGAAGCACCATTTTCAGTCTATTGCATAGCTTTTTGGAGATTACCTTGTAGATAGTGTTGCAAGAAGCAATTGGCATGTAGTCTCTCAAACAGAAGAAGCATGACTACTTTTAGGGACTAGTGTGATCGCCGTCTTGTTGATAGCTTTTTCAGACTCTACATTACTTGAAATTGGGCTACTATATTTATGTTATTTTACTCATTATACAAACTTTATTTATATGTACCTGACAAATCTGCAAAACCTAATGCTATTATGTGTTATCCTAGTCTTTTTCCTTCTTGACGAATGATCAAAGTTTGGTTTCTATTTAATTATTAATTTCATCTTAGGTGTAGGAGAATGTGAGTGATGCAACTGGAAATGGTGGCAGAAAATTAATTTGATCTATTAATGTAAATGGCAAAGAATTTTGGATAGTTAGAATATCTAATATTCATGATACTATATGAATATATTCAATTTTGTAAAGTGTATTGCTAGTGGACATGTTGACACATTATTTTATTAGTATGTGTAGTACATGACTAAGTCAAAGTTCATTGCAACTATATATGCATTTGAATTATTTTTTTTGGCATTTATTAGCTAACTTGGTTCTTGATATCATAAAAATATACGACAATAATTCATAAGCTTGAAATAACAGTGATAATATGATATATGCAAACTATAATTTTTTAAAGGTATTAAAAAATAACTTTTATAGCCTAGCAAAAATGTGATGCTTTAAAAGTGTGGCCATAGGGACTGTACGTCTGCTATTTATATAAGCATAGGTTACACTTTATAAATGTTCCTTTGGAATCCACATTTAAAAAGTGTGGCCTATAAAGTAACAAAGGCCACACTTTCAATGTGCAGCTCTAGGGTGTGAAAGGGTTGCCATATGGGGTGTAACAAGTGTGGCTTTGTTATCCGATAAGCACGCTTTTAAGCGTGTCTTGTAGGGCAACATTTACATAGTGTTGCCTGAGGTAAAAGGTTACACTTGTTTTAGCCACCACTCAAAAGCGTTGCCTAAAGTTAAAAAGTATATATGGTCTTTGATCAACAGTCACACGTTTTATTAGTTTAGGTCACACTTTTTCGGAATAATCAAAGAATAATAAAACAATTAGTATGATACAAATTTTATAATATAATCGGCTGAACTAAACAATTGACACCTTTAACTAAAAGAGAGCATGAATTTGCACAGCTTCGGGGTTATGAAAAAATCTAATATGCCATGACAAGAAAGAAATGGAGCCGACGAAGATAGCAATGAACAATTAAAATAAAAAATTGCCCTGAATGAAAGCTAAAGTGCGTTAGCTTCCTTCAACAATTAGACCAAAAGAGCACACTTAATTCAAATGAATGCAATAAGTTTTAGCCTGACCGACTAGTTTTGTATTTTCCGAAGTAATATTGCCTATATTCCAATTTATGTGGTACTATTCGACTAGAAAAAAGTTTTAAAAAGAAAGAAAGACTTTTGAAATTTAGGCCTAAAACAAACCTTAGACATTTGCATGGCTAAAAAGGTGATATTATTTTTGAAAAATACAAAAAAGGAAGGAGTGCCACATAAGTTTGGATTAGTTAAATAATAGGACAGTAAAAGAAAATACATTATTTAATCTTGAAAAAAAGAATTATTTCTTTTGCAAATATATATTGCTTAGCGAATAATGTAAATAGTTCCTGTAATAATTGCTTTAGTGGAAAAAGATTTTTTATGATTAAAATTATTAAAGTCTTACCTAGATCAATAATGTATTGAGATATATTAAATGGGTTAGATATATTTTCAAGAATGAAAGCGAATTATTTGAAGAAGTTGATTATGATTCTTTATTTACCTTGTAGCTCAAATATCTAAGTAAATTAACTTTAAATAAGATTTTATAGGATTTGTTTTCCAAAACAGGGAAAACTAACCTAAACAGCCGGCCAATGTATAATTCATGTGTAATATGGATAAACACACATAACCAGCATATAATTTACGTATACTAGTTGATAAAGTAAACAATGATTGTGTCCGACTAATTGTATAAAGTGGCCTCTCGTAGAAGTTTTTGTGCTTTAGGCCCCAAATTTGTTGAGCCGCCCTGGACAAAAACTGGAAATATCTAACTGGAAAGTTTGCTAAAACTACTAGTTTCCAAAAATTTTATTATTCACTGAAGAAGAAATGTTACTTGATCCACCATCTATCCAAATATTTCTTTTGTGAAGTGAAGAGTTCATTAATGGGCCATCGATACCTTTAGAACTGTACGTGGAACTGAAAATGCGCATAGGGAAAACCCTAAGAACCACAAACACGCAAGTCTAATGGGTAGTCCCTAGATATCAAAACATGCAAGGAATTAGTTTTGGAATCCTATTCCGACGAGATAACAAATCCACATGCAATGACGCGCTAAAAGCTATTGCTAGGCTGAGAAATATCATTACCTAAAATATAACGAACCTTTTAGTTTAAGAAACTCTAAATGGCGCATGGAAATATGAAGAAATTGCCCGAAGATGTGGTTATTGATATACTCTTGAGACTTCCAGTAAAATCTCTTATGAAACTCAAATGTGTCTCTAATACATGGTATATTCTCATAGGATCCTCCACATTCATCAATTGTCATCTCAACAGCAACACAGTTGCCAAAGAAGAATTCATACTCTTTAAGCGCTCCTTCATGGAAGAACCCTACAGATATAAAACTATCTTGTCTTTTCTTTCCGGCGATGATGATTATTATCTTAACGCACTTTCTCCTGATCTGGATGTGTCAGATCTGATCTCCACATTTAATAGTATTTATGATCAATTCATCGGTCCTTGCCATGGTTTGATTGCTTTAATGAACATCCTTAACACTATCTTAATTAATCCAGCTACTAGAAACTATCGGCTGATCCCACCCTGCCCTTTCGCTTGTCCACCTGGTTTCCGTCGTGATGTTGACTGTATTGGGTTTGGTTTCGATACGATTTCAAATGACTACAAGGTTGTTCGAATTTCAGAAATTTACTGGGATACTTATTACATGTCTCCTGATGTGAGAGAGAAAAAAGTTGAGGTTTATGGCTTGAGCTTTGATTCTTGGAGAGAATTAGAACATGTGGGTCAAGATCTGCCAATTGTGCATTGGATGTCTTGTTCCATGATATTTTACAAAGTAGCCTGTCATTGGCTTGCAATTGTAGGAAGCAAGATGGTAATTCTTTGTTTTGACATGAGTACTGAGACTTTTCGCAACATGATATTGCCTAATACTTGTAATTACTTCAATGGACCACGTTATGGCCTAGTTATATTAAATGAGTCTCTATCGATGATTTGTTATCCTGATCAAGACCACATGAGTGATCCTGCACATGAATTGATGGACATCTGGATAATGAGCGAATACAGTGTGTACGACTCTTGGATTAAGAAATACTCAATTGGACTTCTTCCTATTGATTCTTTATTAGCTGTTTGGAAGGATTACTCGGTGCTTTTAGAATGTGATAATGGACATCTGATTTCCTGTGATATAAAGTCTGGTAAAGTCAAGGCGTTTAATTTTGACGGTTTTCCGAAAAGTTTGAGAGCTATTACTTAGAAGGAAAGTTTGATTTCAATACCAAGAGGAAGCGATCATAGTACCCAAGTTCAAACATTTTAGAAAACTAGTTTCTCACCACGTGCTGCACGTGAATGTCAAGACATTTAGTATATAATGTTTTTAAAGTAATATAATTATCATTAATAAATTTTTGAGTAAATATTTAGATATAAAAGATAAAGTACTATTTCTTTCGTATTTGTTCTGATTTTCTTAATTTTATTGTCAAGCTTTATGAAATTATAAAGGTTATATCATGTAATTTTTCTTATATTTCTCCTTCCAGCATTTGACCAACACCACATGGCATTATGATAGATTTTACTAGTGTGCATTTAACAATTTTCAAAGTTCGTTCCAAACAATCACCGAATATTAAAAATTCGTTCCAAACAAACACCAAACAACGAAAACGAACGATTGATCTAAGTCAAATAGTAATTCAATTACCGAGTAATATACAGGATGTTGACCAAAAAGTCTTTTTTTTTTATAAAAGATACAACGTCAAACATTTTACAATAAAACGATTCATCACCCAATACTAACACTTTATACGGATGAAATCGGGGCAATATATACCCCGATTTTCCGGCGGGTCAAACGAAACCAGGACGTAATCGCACTGGATCGGATTCGGAGTTGGAGACCTCTTGTACTGGGGCCCAAACGGAGTGCCCGACAAGACAACACTTCCCCGAACCCGGAATGAGCTCCGAGACCTCGGAAAATACGACAACGGTTGCACACGACTAACAGAGGGCCATGATATCCGCACCCCTACCTGATATTACGGCGTAAATCTCTGCCTACATCGGCAGCGGATCAATGATTAACGAAAAAGAAGATTTTTACATTTCTTAGAATTGTACTAGGGGTGAAATTCTCCTACTATATAAAGGGGATAGTTTTTATTCAATGTACACACTGTAACATGCATATCAAGGCAATACAAACTTATTTCCCTCCTTTCTAGTTATTGAAAGGTTCTTATTTTAATCATAGCTCTTCATTCACGTTTGGCTCTGAATCGAGGGCAGAACAATTGTTAAGCTTAGATCCGAGCCTCGACTCAACATCACAAATGGTTTGAATATTTATTTTATCTTTAATTCACTTATCTAATATTCTTAATTATTTGTGTTGAATCAATCCGCATATCTTTAAAACAGCATATAAATTCAATTGTTATCCATTTTAAGGGTAAACAGTTTGGCGCCCACCGTGGGGCTAAGAATAATAGTGATGGTTTGATACAAATTTTCATAAGACACTCTATTTTACGCTTGTTCTTTGAGGTTTCAATTTCAGGACAACATAAAAATGTCAATCCCTCAGTCTGCTCACTTGAACATTGATACTGAGTCCGGCATCATGGCGTACACAACAATATGGTACCTGGCAGTGAGGTACCCTCTGCTGATCCCAACGGAGTCCCGATTGAAGACTCATTCGATGCTAACTTGCATGTGGCCAGTGACACCAACCTGCCTACCAATCCCGAGAACAACGTTCGCGGAAGAGCCCGACCAACGACTCAAGGAGCGCCCGGAGGCGAAGGCGATAGGGTCAGTCTACGAGTGATCTTCGAAATGTTGCAGGCCCAATAGGCGGCGATAGCGCAGCTGCAAAATCAAAGTCGCGCCTCCCAGCAGGGTTGAGCCCAAACCATCCCGGGAAAATGCCCGAAGAAATGAGCAGATCACCGAAAGGTCGGCTGGAACTGAGACCGGTGTCAGACCCGAAGTAATGAAGATGCTTGAAGCATTAACGAAATGGGTGGAATTAGGTGAAAATAAAATTGAGGCAAACAATAAGAAGGTAGAGATATATAATTCCTATGTTGATTAAATTCCAGGAGTGCCTCCGATATTGAAAGGCCTGGACTCCAAGAAATTTGTACAAAAGCCTTTTCCTTCGAGCGCGGCACCGAAGCCAATCCCAAAAAAATTTTGTATGCCCGATATTCCTAAATATAACGGAACCACATATCAAAATGAACATGTAGCATCCTACACATGCGCCATCAAGGGTAACGACTTGGAAGATGACGAAATCGAATCAGTGTAATTAAAAAACTTTGGGGAAACTCTGTCGAAAGGAGCAATGATATTGTACCACAACTTGCCCCCAATTTTAATTGATTCATTCGCTATGCTTATAGATGTTTTTGTAAAGGCTCATGCCAGGGCCATCAAAGTCGAGACTAGAAAATCGGATCTTTTCAAGGTTAAGCAAGGGGACAACGAAATACTCAGGCAGTTCGTGTCAAGATTTCAAATGGAACGGATGGACTTACCTCCAATTGCGGACAATTGGGCCGTTCAAGAATTCACTTAAGGACTTAATCCCCGAAGCTCCATAGCTTCACAATAGCTAAAACAAAATTTAGAAGAGTACCCCACGGTAACTTGGGTCGACGTCCACAACAGGTACCGGTAAAATATTAGAGTCGAAGATGACCAGCTCGAGGCCCCTTCTGGGTCCGTTTATCCCATTAGGACCGATGACAGGTCTAAAAATGTTGTCGATCATGCACCAAGATCGATCCGAGACCGGTATCAACCGTACACCGAATATAGAAGGGGTAACTGGTCTGGGTGCCACCCTACAAGGAACGAAAAGAGGAGCGATCGAGGCCCGAATAGTCGGGGCCTCCAAAAATGGTTTTGACAGGCAACTCGGGGCCAGGGAGGCACCGAGATTATTGAAATATAACTTCAACATCGATGCTGTCGGTATCGTATCAGCCATCGGGCGCATCAAAGATACCAAGTGGTCTCGACCATTGTAGTTCCACCCTACCCAGAGAGACCCTAATTTGATATGTAAGTATCACGACACTCATGGACACAAGACCGAAGATTGCCGATAGTTAAGAGAAGAAGTTGCCTGGTTGTTTAATAATGGGCACCTACGAGAATTTTTGAGTGATCGAGCAAAACACCACTTTAGAAGGAGTGACGACAACAAACAGACCGAACAAGATGAACCTCAACACATCATCAACATGATCATTGGAGGGGTCAATGTCCCTCAGGGGCTGATGATAAAATGCACTAAGGTGTCTATCACGAGACAGAAATGCACCCAAGATTATATCCCGAAGGAAACCATTTTGTTCAGCAATGAGGACGCCCAGGGCATCACACAACCTCATAATGATGCACTAGTAATTTTTGTACTTGTCAATAAGTCTCGAGTTAAATGTGTGTTGATCGATAGAGGTACCTCGGCCAACATCATCGAATCGAGGGTCGTAGAGCAGTTGGGGTTACAAGATCAAATAGTGCCAGCAGCCCTGGTGTTGAACGAATTTAACATGGTATGCGAAACCACTAAAGGGGAGATAACCCTACCCGTGAACACCGCCGGGACCATCCAGGAAACAAAGATCGACGTGATCGAAGGGGACATGACATATAACGCTCTATTTAGAAGACCATGGGTTCACAACATGAGGGCATTACCTTCGACCTTACACAAGGCGTTAAAGTTCCCTACTCCGTGGGGAATCAAGATGGTATACGGAGAGCAGCCGACTGCAAAGGAGATGTTCACAGTTGATGAAGTACTACCGATGCCCGCCGTCCGGACAATAAGGAACATAGAGCCGACCAAAAAGGCCAAAGTCAAATAGCAATCACTGATGCCGGTCCCGGTCGGGCCGGAGGAACGAGGATTTGACGAGGAGGATGATTACGAAATTCCGAGATCATTTATAACTCCTGATGATACCGACGCCTTCAAATGAACGATCGAAGAGCTGAAGCAAGTCATGTTGACTGAACACCTACCGGATCGAAAGGTATACCTGAGTACGGGGTTAATCCCCGAGCTCAGGAAAGAACTCATTAATTTTCTTAAAACTAACATATCTTATTTCGCCTGGTCCCATCTTGATATGACAGGGATCCCGCCGGATATAACCACTCATAAGTTGAGTTTGGACCCAAAGTTCCATCCGGTTAAGCAGAAGAGGAGACCTCAGTCTGAGGTTAAGTGCACATTCATCAAGGACGAGGTATCTAAACTCCTTAAAATAGGGTCTATCCGTAAAGTTAAGTACCCGGACTGGCTCGCTAATGTAGTGGTAGTACCTAAAAAAGAAAATAAGCGATGAATGTGTGTAGATTACGAAGACATGAACAAGGCATGCCCTAAGGATTCTTTTCCTTTGCCTAACATCGATTAAATGATCGAGCGATGGCCGTGCACGAGATACTCAGCTTTCTCGATGCCTATTCCGGGTACAACCAAATTTGGATGGACCCGAGCGACCAAAAAAAGACTTTCTTTATCACTGAAGTTCCTCAACATCATGGTATCCAATCGAGGGATCGAGATTAATCCTGACAAGATCAAGGCCATAGAAGGCATCACCATGGTGGACAATGTCAAGGACCGGGTGTATAGCCGCCCTGGGCCGGGTCATATCGAGGTCCTCCAATAAAAGTCATTGGTTCTTTTCACTATTGAAAAAGAAGAATAACTTTTCCTGGACCCCGGAATGCCAACAAGCTTTGGAAGAACTCAAACGATACCTTTCGAGTCTGCCCCTGCTCCACACTCCGTAGGTGGATGATCAATTTTACCTTTTACTTGGTGGTGTCCGAGGTGGCAGTAAGTGGAGTTTTAGTCCGGGAAGAGGAAGGTATGCAATTTTCTTATTTACTATGTCAGTAAAACTCTAGGCGATGCCGAAACAAGATATCTTCACCTGCAAAAATTGGCACTCGCTTTGCGAAGCGCCTCCAGGAAGTTAAAATCGTACTTTCAATGCCACCCCATATGTGTTGTAACCTCCTACCCACTGAGGAAAATCATGTACACACCCAAGATTTCGGGCCGGTTGGCCAAATGGGCCATCGAAATCAGCTGATAGGATATCGAGTACCGAGCCTGAACTGCCATCAAATCTCAAATTTTGGCAGACTTCATGGCCGACTTTACGACGGCCTCAATACTAGAAGTCGAAAAGGAATTACTACTAACCT